ATCTTTTTTTCCAGCCTTGAGATCCATCCAAACTGTCACATGTATCAATACTTTGTTCCTTTACATTGCTGACTAGTATTCCATGATGAAGATGTTCCATAGTTACCTAATTAAGGACATTTTCTCCCTAGCTTATGGCAACTACAAATAAAGCTGTCATAAACACTTCTGCTCATGTTTTTGTGTAAACACCTGCTTTTCTCTGGATAACTGTATAGGAACAACAATTGCTGGGTAATATGGTAAGCATTTCTTTTGGAGGGATGATGAGTACTGGGGGTTGAACACAGGAGTGCTTTACCACTGAGGCATATCCCCACCCCCTTTTTAATTTACTTTGAAAGAGAGCCTTGCAAAGTCGCTCAGGGCCTTGCTTGCTGAAGCCTTGAACTTACGATCCTCCTGCCTCAGTCGCCTGAGCTGCTGGAATTACAGGTGTGTGCCTATGTGCCTGGCAGTTTGTTTGCTTTTTAAAGAAACTGCCACAGTATTTTCCAAACTGGCCATACCATTTTACAAGCCCCCCCAACAAGAGATCTTTCCACATTCTTGCCAGCATTTGCTATTATCACTCTTTATTTTAACTGTTTAAATGGGCATGTAATGAAATTGTGATCTTAATTTGCACATCCTTATGTATTCTATATATGAGTTCTTTAAAAGATATGTGGTTTGCAAATATATATTTTTTTCAGTCTGTACCTTTTCTTTTCATTCTCTTAACAGGGTCTTAGTTGAGCAAAAGCCTTTAAGTTGAACTCATCAATTTTTCCTTTATGGATTATGCTTTTGAAGGTTCTCTCCTTTGTCCTCCTCTCCTCTTTCTTTTGTAGTACTGGGAATTGAACCCAGGGGTGCTCTACTACTGAGCCACACCCCCAGCCCTTTTTATTTTTTTGAGACAGGGTCTAAGTTGCTCATGCTGGCCCCAATTTTGCAATCCTCCTGCCTTAGCTTCCTTAGTAGCTGGGATTATTGGTGTGCACAGCCACACCCTCTCCTTTGTTTTCTTCTAAAACTTCTATGTTTTACTTTTAAATCCGTTATACTTTATTTTTTGAAGGCCAGAGGTTTATGCATTTATGTTTTACTCATCGATTGCAATTACTCCAGCACCATTTGTTGAATAAACTATCTCTCCCCTGTTGAATTTGCTTTGCCTGTTTGCCAAATTTCAGTTGGCTGGGCTTGGGTATTCTGTTGCATTGATCTGTCTGCCTGTCCTTTCACCAATATTACAGTTTTGACTACTACAGCTGTATAATAAATCTTGAAATGGGCAGAGTGATTCCTTCTGCTTTATTCCTGTTAAAAAAACTGCTTAACTATTAAATCCTCTGCTTCTCCATAAACAATAATCTTGCCTATATCCAGAAAAAGTCTTTTTGACAGAACTCACACATGGATGAAGGGACAGCAACTCTGGAGATTCCTCAGAAAACCTGGAATGGAACCACCATTTGACACAGTTATCTCATTCCTCAGCACATACCCAAAGGACTTAAAATCAGCATGCTGTAGTGACACTTCCACATTAATGTTTATGGAAACTCAATTCACAATAGCTAAGCTATGAAACCAACCTAGGTACCCTTCAATAGACAAATGGATAAAGAAAATGTGGTATATATACAGAATGGAATATTACTCAGCCACAAAAAGGAAATTTTGGCATTTGCCAGTAAATGGATAGAACTGAAGACTATCATGCAAAGCGAAATAAGCCAATCCCCCAAAACCAAAGTTCAATTGTTCTCTTTGATATACAGATGCTCACAATAAGGGGTGGGAGGGAAGAATAGAAGTTCACTGGATTAGACAAAGGGGAATGAAGGAAAAGGAGAGGGGATGGGAACAGGAAAGATAGTAGAATGAATCAGACAAAATTTCCTATGTTCATGTATGAATATATGACCAATGTTAACTCCATATCATATACAACCACAGGAATGGGAAATTATACTACATGTATGTATATAATTTGTCAAATTACATTCCACTGTCATGTATACCTAAAAATAATAAAATATAAAAATAAATAAAGAAAAGATCAGTGTGGAATAAACAGTATCAAAGCCTGTAAGTATCTTTGCCCTTCTTATAATAACTTGAGTACATTTAGATTTCCTTAGTACTTAAGATTTTGTCTTCTGGTATCTACTGCTGATGGTAAGTAAAACTCATTCCTTTGTATATAATCTGTCCTTTTGAGGTTTTACATGTAGCTTGTAGACTACTGTAGTCAAATAGCATATGTAGTAAAACTGCTCTTAAAACAAAACAAAAAAACAAAACAAAAACAAAAAACCCGGATGCGATATACAGTATATATAAGAGTATATGAAAATGAGTGTGTTTACAGAGTAAAAATGAATTTCCATCACTCAACCCAAGAAAAAGAACATATCAACACCTCAGAGGGGCCCTCTCCAGAGCTGACTTGGCCAGAGGCTGGCAGCCACCATTTTGCTCTTCTGTGGACTCCACCTTCCACGCCTGCATCCTTAGAGTGCATTGTCTCACTCTTGTTAGCATCACTCAAATGGCTCCTTCTCTATTTCTTGCCTGTTTAGCCTCCTCCAAGATCTACCCACGTTGTTGCACGTGGTTATAGCTCAAGTATCTATGACCACATGCTGTTTCTGATTTTGTGTGTGCTACATGAGCGATGCTAAAAGCATTCCTGGTCCTCTCCTGGTCTACGCATGCTCAACACTTCCAAAGTGGTCACATCCCATTTAACATTGCCCTGCGAGGCGGGTGAGACCCCCAGTGTAGCTAAGAGCGCTTTTGTCTGAAAGTCTCCCTTGCCTCACAAGGCTCTGGCCACCTCTGCTTTCTTTTGAGGATGCTGTGCTTCATAGAGTTTTCTCTGTCCCTTTACTTTCAATCTTGCTGTTCAGGTTTAGGTTCTCTTCTGAATGGTATCAAACTGAGCTTTAAAAAGCGGTCTACTACATTAACTACTCAGCAAGGCCACTACTGTGGGAGCAAATATTTATTTATTTATTTTTATTTATTTTTTAGTTGTAGTTGGACACAATATCTTTATTTTATTTTTATGTGGTGTTGAGGATCGAACCCAGAGCCTCACATGGGCTAGGCAAGCACTCTACTGCTAAGCCACTAAATCCCAGCCCTAAATATTTATTTTAAGACACTGAATTTTTAGGGCTGGGGATGTGGCTCAAGCGGTAGCGCACTCGCCTGGCATGCGTGCGGCCCGGGTTCGATCCTCAGCACCACATGCGAGCAAAGATGTTGTGTCCGCAGATAACTAAAAAATAAATGTTGAAATTCTCTCTCTCTCTCTCTTAAAAAAAAAAAAAGACACTGAATTTTGCAGTAATCTGTATGTAGCAATTGATGATTAATACTATAATATCTTTGGATTCATTTACTCATCCTAATTCTACCTTTTATCTCTTTGCTTTCCTTTGGATAACTACTTTATTCCAAAAAACCAAAAAAAAAAAAAAAAAAAAAAAAAAAAAAGCTTAAAGTAATCCACTCTGTTCCTTTTAGGTTACCTTAAAAATGTTAATCTACTTGTGTGCCAGAGTCTTATCCCTCTTCCTGCATGAGCCTTTTTTTTTTTTTTTGCCGTGCTGGGAATGGAATCCAGGGCCTAGCTCATGCCAGGCAAGTACTCCAACCACTAAGCTGCAATTCTAGCCCTCCTGTGTAAGCCTCCTAGAGGCTGCAGCCCCAATCACCTCCCCTCTGGACTTACATACGATCATCACAACATATTTTTATTTATAAGATCAATGCCTATTTAAATTTCTACTTTCTTTTCCTTCATTCCTTCTCATATTTTAGACTGTCCGTCTGTGACTGCTATCCTTTCAGCCTGAAGACATCCTTAAGAATTTTGTTGTTGTTGTTTTTAAAGGCCAAAGCTTACTTGTTTCATTAAAAAAAAAGTTTGATAATACTCAAACCATACAATTCACTTGCTTAAAGTGTGTAATTCAACAGGTTCTAGCATATTCAGAGATTTATGCAACCATTATCACACTTTTAGAACATTTTCATTATCCTAAAGTAGATTTTGTTAGTGAAGAGAGTCTGCTGGTGACACAACCCTTGGCTTTGTCTGTCTAAATGCATCTTGTAAGACACTTCTCTGGGTATGGTTGGTGATCTTCTTTCATTTTTGTTAACAGGAAGTGTCATGAGCGTGAATACTGGTTGTAGCTGAACATTGGCTTGAAAGACACATCTGTGCTCTTTGATTTTAAGATCTATTTTTGTTTTTTTTGTTCTACAATTTTATTATGATGAAACTACAGATATGGTAGTTTAAAATATGTCAAATACTTAGACTGTCCTCCCTTCAAGAGGTGGGAACCAGAGCTGGAGTGTGGCTCAGTAGAAGAGTATGTACAGAGCATGTACCAAGTCCCCTGGGTTCCATCCTCAGCACTGCTGGAAAAAAAGAGAGGGGGGAGGGGGAGGAAGGGAGACAGAGACTTAATTCTCACTTCAAGTATGGGCTGGACATAGTGACTTACTTCTAACAAACAGGATGTAGCTGAATTCACTTCTAATATGGGTCATAGTGAGGCTCCAAAGCTCCCTTCTGTTTTCTCCCTTGATCTCCACTCTGGGAAAGTCAGCTGTGGTGTCAAAAGAACACTTAGCAAACCCTCTGGAGAGGCCCATGTGGCACGAAATTGAGGCCACCAGTCCAAAGCTATGTGAGTGAGCTGCTAGGGAAGCACAACCTCTAGCACCAGTCCAGCGTTCAGACGACCAAGACCACATAAGAGACCCCAAGCTAGAACTGCTCAGCAAGGCCACTACTGTGGGAGTAAATATTTATTTTAAGACACTGAATTTTGCAGTAATCTGTATGTAGCAATTGATGATTAATACAGGTACAAAAATTTTTAAGTAAACTTGCTGAGTTAGAATAAATATACAAGTAAACACAACGAATATTCATAAAGTAAAAATACCTGATTAATCACCGTTCAAATCAAGAACATGTGAATATAGTTTTGTTTCTTTTTATTGTCCTGCTTGAGATTTGTTGGTCTTCTGGAATCTGTGGATTAGTAATTTTCAAAGGCTCTAGAAAGTTCTCACTCGTTGTTTCCAATTTTGTCTCTGCTCCACTTTTGTGGGTTTCTTCTCTCTGAACTCCAATCCCATGTTATGCTGGATCTTCTCACTTTATTCTCCATGTCTCTCAGCCTCTTGTTTCATATTACTGATCTTTTTATCTTGCTGGGCTGCATTCTGGAAAACTCCAAATCCATGATACTAGAAGCAGATGTGGTTGGCCACTGCTCCTTCAACTACCTTCTTTTTCTGATTTTCTTTTCCTGAAACCTCTGTCGGCTATAAAACATCCATCAGTATAGCAAGGTTCTCAATCTGCCTCTATGTTACCTCTTTACTTCCCATTGTTACCTTCAATCTATCTCCTTAGCTTTACCTTCCAATTTATTAATCGCTTTTTTGACTACAAGTTACAATTTAGTTCTCCTAGGAAGTTCACTTTATTATTAATTTTTATAATAATGGATATTAAACTGAGGGGTGCTCTACCAGGGAGCTACATCCCCAGACCTCTTATTTTTTATTTTGAGACAAGGTCTCATTAAGTTCCCCAGACTAGCCTCCAACTTGTGATCCTCCTGCTTCAGTCCACCAAGTAGCATAGATCACAGGCACATGCCACCACACCTAGCCTGGATTCTTATTTTAATATCCACTTTCTTCATTTCCAAGATTTCTAGTCAGTTACATTTAATGCCTGTTCTTGACTTACTGGGGTCCTCCTTTATCTCTCTGTTGATACAGCAAATGCTTTTAGGATATAACTTTTATCCATTTCCTGGGATATAAATCCTCCCACTTTTGGGGTTGTTGACTATTCTTTAAGGCACTGCATTGTCTCATGTGTTTTGTCTTTTACTTTCTTTCTTTTAAAATTTTTTTCTTTGGTAATGGAGATTAAACCCAGGGACACTCTCCCTACCACTGAGTATCCCCTTCACTTTTCATTTTTTATTTTGAGGAGTCTCACTAAGTAGCTGAGGCTAGTCTTGAATTTGTGATCCTCTTGTTTCAGCCTCCCAAGCTGCTGGGATTACAGATGTGCTACTGAGACTGGCTATTTTTGTTGAATGTTTGTCATGCATGGCAGGTTTTGTTTTTCTTTCCTTATATAAGGGTAGTTTTTCTGTCAGGGAACCTAGAGTCAAAAACTCAGAAGCATCCTGTTCATCAGCTCTCTGGGTTCTCATGTTGTGGAATGACCCAACTCCTATTTCAGAACTGGTGCTGAGTGGGAGCTCAGTTCCCAGCCACCAGATGTCTGAGTCCTTCCACTACCATAGACAAGCATCCTGTTTCCAAATGCAATCCCAGGAGGTGTGGGGAGTCTTGTCACCCTTTTTCTTAGGAAAGAAAGGCCAGATCCAATCCTGACAACTACAGGCATGTTTCATCCCTGTAACTTGTGGGAATCAAGAGTCCTGGCTTTGGTCTTGTTGCACTGCTCAGTGAAGGAACTGGCCACCTACCCCTTCAGCCCTTGCTCTTAGCTGCATATTTTTATTTTCTTCTACACAGGAATTACCTTCTGAGAGTAGAAGCACAATTTTAATTTAAAGAATTTTACTTATTGTATGGGTGTGCTGGTCTGTGTGTTTACACACACACCCTACCTCCATGACCCAAGTCCTCAGCACTGTCTGCCAGAGCTGGGCCACTGTGTATCTGGAATGCAGCATAAAGAGAAGAAGCCACACTAGATGATTTAGAGCAGGAGCAGGAGGCTCAAGGGAAGCTCTTAGGAAACTCAAGGGTGCAACAACCCTAGAGGCGAGGTAGTTTCAGTTGGCTACTGGTACCTGGAGTCTGAACTGATGTGGCCAGGCAGTTCTAACTAAGAGCTCCCAGCAGTGGCAACAGGCCTCAAGCCAAGACCTCAGGGCCCAAGATCACACCTGAACCCAGCCTACCACATCACAGTCCCTAGAAGAATGGATCTTCTCACTCATATAGGGCCCTGTCCTAGGGAGAGCCATGGTTTAACTTTGTTAGAGCAGGGAGAGAAGCTGCTGAGGGCTGGGCAGAGTAAGGGAAATTAGTGCTGGGCCTTAAACATGGAGTGGCCCTGCATGGAAATTTATAGGGCTCAATCTCATCCTTCTCTTTCTCACACTTTGAAGGGACCTATAGAAATTAGGGAGGGAGCCTCTCCAGCCATACTGCAAACTATTGCAAGGCCTCGGCCTTGGGAAGTCTTAGAAGAACTCTCGGACCCTGTCTCTGTCATCCAGGGGTTTTAAGAAGACACCACTGACCATAGCCTGGGCCAGGCCTTGGACCCACAAGGTCAACCCCAGGTCTTTCTCACGTAGCCCTCTCCATAAGTCCAGCTGGACACAGGGGTAATTCATATCAAGTGCCACCTCTGAGGCCACCATGTATTAGAGTCCAAACCTACAGTACCACAGGACCCAAGAAACATTTGACAGGTTTCTACCATATAAAGGGGTTTACTTGTCTCTATTTACAGACATTTTCTAAAAGTTTGGAATACATACATATGTACAAACATAGGCATGTCCCACAGCAGTTGCTGGCTCTGTCCTATTCCAGTGGTAGGAACCCTCAGGAGACAAGGAGCTGGCGACATCCCATGGAGGTTTGGACTCGATGGGGCTGATCAGTTCTGAGGAAGACCTGGATGTGATGGTAACCCAGCCCCCACCCCTGCCCAAGAGCATCCACCTGCAGGACACCTGGTGGGCAGATGGGGTACAAGGCACACTTCAGTCAGAATCACAGGCCTCTTGTTCAGTGGTGGCATCCACTGCAGAAGCCAGGTTGTCCTCCTGGCCTTTCAGCCTCTCACCTGGAGGAAGGAAAGATAGGCAAGGGTAAAGGCTTCTGTGCTTGGGCTGCCACCCAGAGGGTAGGACCCGGTCTGCCAGGGCTGCACTTACGGATCAGCTCGGCGATGGCCCTCTGGGTACGCTTTTCAAGCTTTTCTAGCTTCTTGGCCACGTCTCTCTTGAGGTCCCTGGAGCAGGAGGTGAGAAAGCGGGGAGGCTGATGACAGGCTGGTATGGCTCTGGGCCCTCACCCCTCCTGTAGCTCTCTGGCATAAGGAATCACATTCAGTTGCCTGAGGGGACTTCCCTGGAGAGCAGACCAAGATGTTCCCTTCTATTCCTCCCTGTGCCTTTGAAACTCATTTACTCATCATTCTCTGTCCCACTGACGTGGGGGGACTAGTGACAAGGGATGGAGCCAGGGGTGGATGTTTCCTTAGGGATCCTCTAGGTCCTGTGGTTGCCATCAAGAAGTGACTTGCTCTGGCTGCTGTGGGCCCTGCTCCTCCCCTAGCAGCAGGTGACCGACTCCTCACCCGAACTCAGCCAGCTCTCTTGCACTCCATCCCATTTCACAGATGAGGAAAGTAGGGCCAGAGGGAAACAGGGATAAGACACCTGTGTCTGCTCTTCTTTCCATCCCCTCTACCCGGTAGTCTCCTGAATGGGAAGATTGGTCTTGCTCAAATGGCACCTTTTGGAGCAGGGTGGGCCCTTACCCATTCAGAACAGCTTCCTGAGGGGACTTCTGTTCTCCTACCTAAGACCCTCTTTAATTTAATGATCTTTCCCATCATTCTTGCTTCTCAGTACTTATTTCCCACTAATTATCTTGTGTGGTTGTGTCTGCAATGTCTGCCCCCTGTTGGGAGGGTAGGTAGGGCTCAGCCTAAGGACAAGGCCCGGCAACAACGTCCAACAGTGGGTCTGTACCAGGCTGTATGAACAACACTCACCAGTCAGGCTTCCGGGGTGCCAGGTTGGCCAGGTCCTGGGGAGGGAGGAAACACTCATCAGGGTTGGAGGCTCACGCAATTCCAGGGGGAGAGGGAAGATGGGGTCTAGAGTTAGAGAAATGGGAAAAAGGAAAGGAGGAAGTAGTGGGGACAAGGAGAGTTGGGTTGTGGAAAGGGAAAAAAGAAATGAAGAGGAAGAAGGGGGACAGATGGAAGGAAAGTGGGACATAGGAGCAGCAAGGTTTTAGGCACCCACCACTTCTTCAATGACGGGCTCTGGCTTGGCAGCCTCCAGCTGTTCCTTCACCTTCTCTTCCACTAGAGGGTGCAAGACAACAAGATGAGACTGTTGGAGTGGCGCTGTCACCAAGCATGATGCCTGGACACATCAGAGGAGACAAAGGCTTCTTGCTCCCTCCCCTCCCCTGAGCCCCCAACACTCCAGAGGTAAAGCCCCTGTAAAGGCAGCTCTGGAGGGGTGGCCTGGACTTGCCAGGATGAGGCCAATTACCATGGGGTGAGAAAGGGCAGGCAGGAGGCTGCTGGCTAGAATTATCAGGGTCTAGATCTCCAATCAGGAAGCACGGATGCTAATCTTGACTTCAGTCTCTCCACTGTGAGTGGGCAGACTGCCTGGATATGTAGAAAGTATGTTTTTGTGAAGGGTCCTGCTTTCCCCATAACCCCGGGGCTCCTGGACTCTGAGGGTGTCCTCTGGATCTTGGCCTGGCCTGGCCAGAGCCACGGGTGGCTTTTCTTCCCATTCCGTCTCATATGTGTGCTGACAAACACCCCTGGCTCCACCAAGCTGCTGCTAGCAAAGTAGGCCCTGGATGGTCCCCTCTGGGAACAGAAGTCAGCATACTAACAACAATGGGCTCTGTAGGCTGCCTCCAGCCCCATCATCAGAAGCCCCATAAATGGCCTCTCTGCTCTTCTGCTTCATCATCCTCCAGCCACTGATAGGAGTCTAAAGTGGCCTCCTGATCCTGAGGCATGGAGTCAGTTCCTTGTGCTTTCTTCTGTTCTGCCTTTTGGCTCCCTGCCCTGACCCTGCCACTGCCCCAACATGTGGGGCCCCAAATCACGGAGCAAATCTCCTGGGAAGAGTCTAGAGCTCAGGGAGGTAGGGATGGAAGCAGACTTGGAGTGAATGAATGGGAAATACTTGACCTTTTTATAACTATATCTATTAATTCATTACTTGTACAATTAAAAGTTGATAACAAAAATAAAGAATAAAATCTGACTCCAAGGCAGGACTGGCACTCTGTGGCATGTGCATGTGGATGACCAGAAGCTCCTGGTTGCTGTGCTGGGATGTTCCCATCCTCTGAGTTGCTGGCCTGCTGCTAGGATGCCTGATGGTTGGCCCCTCCTCAGGGCTCACAGGACTCATCACCTGCCTGCTACATCCAAGCACCCAGGGCCACTTCTACTTCTCATCCCAGGAGTCCCAAGAGTCTGCAACCCCTCTGGGCCCTCCCACAGGTCCCTAGCAAGCAACAGAGGACTCTGGAGACCCAACTCCTGCCTGGCACTGCCTATTATCCTTTAAAGGAGGGCAACACCTGCTAAGGACAGTGTCACAGTGCAGAGCTGGAGAGAGGACGCTCACCTACCTGCCACTGGTTTGGCCTGGGGCACCCTCCTCCTCTTCAGGTCCTCATCCTCTGGGACATAATTCCGCAGCCTGAGCTCCCTACAAGAGTAGAGAGAAAAAGCAGCTGAGACAAGTGTGAGACAGCCTCACTGACCTCACATGACTTGCAAGTCAAAATGTGACAGATCCATGCAGGCTGTCTACTTCCTGGATTTCCTATGATCCTAGAGATGGCCGGGTGAAGAGGGAAATCACAGGATTGAATCATCATTGGGGAAGGTCCCTCAGCCCCTCATGTGCCACTCAGCAGCTGGACTGGCTGCTCTGCAAAGGCCCTGCCTGCCTGTAGGAGGAGTGTTCTCCAGAGCTGGGCCAGGATGTTGGTGAGCAGTCACTGGCTTTGTCTCTGGCATTATCTCATTTGACAGTTAAGGGAACCGAGAAGCAGAGACTATCACTATCACTATCATGAGACTATCACTATCATGAGATCACATAACAGAGATAGCACTATGAGACCTTGAGACCAAGGCTAAGCATGACTTCCAGCCAGAGCTCTGGAGCTAAGTTACTCCTAAAAGAGTAGTACCCCCAAGCCTGGCCCCCTCTTCAGAGCCTTTGTGTCCTGGGCCAAAGTCACATAGTCCTTCAATCATTAGTAGACAGGGTCTGGGTGCGCTGGGCCAAAGGCACATGGCAGTGAGTGACAAGTGCAAGTCGCATTTCCAGAGGAGTGTGAATGTGTAAGAATTCTAGGAGGAGGTGACATCTAGGCCTGAGGCTATGGAGGACAGGGAAAAGGCACAAAATACACAAGAGGCTGACCCCTCCCTCTACAATGTGGGGAATGGCTTGTGAAGGCTGTGGGAACAGGTGTGAACACATGCAACACTGGGCAAGCCACAATCTGCCTGGACAGTCCTGAGACCTGAGCTGCACCAGTCTTCAGAATGCTCCCAGGACAGGCCACAAGTCTTGTGAGGAGGAGGACACCCTAGGCCAGAATCACAGAGGGAGTTGCGGCCAGCACTGTCATTTTTTGTCCTCGTCTCAGTCTCCTCAAAGAGGGTGGGTTGTTCCAGGAGTTCACTGGAGGCCTCTCTGGCTCATCAAACCCCAAACACACATGCACAGACTGAAGGGGGGCCCTTGATTATTCTGCAGGACAGTAAGCTAAGTGCTCCTGGGGCTGCTAGGATTCATAAAGCAAGAAAAAACCTGGATATACCTCTAGTTGCTGGGAGGTGCAGAAGTAGCACCCCACCCTCTTTACCTCTCTTAGGTCCTTGACCACTGGCCCTTCAGAAGGTCCTGGGAAGGAAACCATTTCTCAAAGGAGGCCTCTCATAGTTCATCCCTTATAAGCCTTCTGTCTGGGCCAGGCAAGGGTGCCTCTCTCAACCCCCGGAGGGAAGGCAAACTTTTCCAAAGCCAGAGGCGAGGTAGCTGATGGCTAAGGCCACACAGCCACACTAACAAGCAAGTGACAATACTCTGAACTTGGATCTCTACATGGGAGATGCAGAAGGTCCAAGGGGCTCAGGGCCTGGGGCTGCACTGAACCTCTGCGCAGAGAGTGAGAGGAGACAATGGCCCTGTATGGACAAAGTCCACCTCACATAATACTCCTAAAGTCTGCTTTTTCCAAGGAGCAGGGATGCCCCACCCTGCCTCAGGCAAAGGGGTAAACCTCAGGTCACTGAGGCACTGAGAAAGTGGGGCATGATTTGGTGCAATGACTTTTGTCCAAAACAGGGTGGGGAGAAAAGAGGAAGAGAAACTAACTGGGTGTGGGAAGAAAACTGCAGGGATTACTAAGAAACAAAAAAAAAAAAAAGAAAGAAAGAAAAAACTGGTTCCAAGGTTCTGTGAGAAATCAGTAGCAGAAAAGTCCAGCAGTGACAAGTACCCAGGCCTCTAGCCCCACTCTGCTGCCCATGGCTTCAGAAGATTAGCTGGAAGTGGGGAGGGAGGACCCAGCAGCACAAACATGGAGGCCAGAGCAGGAGAGGCAGCCTGCTGCTCAACACCCGCCTCGGCCCCTAGAGCTGAGTACTGGTTAAGCTGTCAAGGACACCTGCATCCCCATCTCTGTGGGCCAGCCCCATCCTGGGCCTCAGTTGCCACATCTGTCAAATGGAGGCTATACTGGGTACGATCAGCTCGATCAAGCTGGGTTCAAGACGTCTCCTGACTCATTCTTTGAGAGGCAATCAAGAGTCTTCCATTCATAAAGTCCAATTAACTGTCCCTGCCTTCCTGCCAAAGGGCAGAAATCTCTGGGAAAGAAGCACTGGGTTCTGCTCAGCGATCTGGTCTTTCTAAAACAGGCCCAAGATTTAAACACTTCCACAGCAATTCAACAAATCTTACAACAGATATATTTGAAACATCTGCTTATTAGCCTTGGAGAAGCACCAAGACAACAAAGATTTCAAGGGCTGCAAACCCAGAGATAAGAGAAGTGCAGCAACATGGGCCTGATGTCCGCACCTCTTTCCCCTTGAACCATCTGTCAATTTATAAGCAGTGAATGAAAGGCTGAGTTTCCTGTAATCTCATGGGGATGAAGAGAAAAAAATTCTTTTAGGGTAGCCAAGGAACCCCGACACATCTACCCCTTCCTAAGAGCAGGGTGAAACTGAAACAGACCACCCTTCCCAAAGGCTGTGTGCCACACAGTTGGTGACACCTGCCCTTTGGCAGACAGGGTTGGTGTTGGTGAGAGGATGTTTCTCTATTGGTCCTAAAAGGGGGGCAGGGTACCTCCCCCTGTCAGAAGGTAGAAAACATCCTCTCTGGAGAAAAGTAAATTACCCAGAACCTAAAATCATTCCTAGACTTTTTTGTACACAATATCCACAATTTAATGAAATCTATGGGAAAAAAAAAAAAAACACCTTCTGGAAACTAAAAATTAATCAAGTGAAAAATCTATAACTGAAAACTGTAACAAAAAATTTGAATTAAAAAAAGGGCTTAATAGCAGTTTGGATACAACTAAACAAAGAATAGAGAACTTCAAGATATGCCAGAAAATATCCAGACTGAGGCACAGAGGAATAAAGTTGGAAAATAGAGAAAAAACATGAGATATATGAAATATGACAAAAGATCTACACATTTCTAGAGCACCAGAAGTAACGTTCAGAGATATGACCGAGAAGTTTACGGAATTAATGAAAAAATCGTGTAGGATTAATGAAAGAATTAATCACCAAACCATAAAGAAAACCATGCACCCCAAAGAAAAAGCATTCGGAGGCAAATCACTGCTAAACTACTAAAAACCAAGAAAGAGAAACAAGGATACCCAATGTCCAAAGACAAAATTAAACTGACAGCTGACTTCTGAACCTAAAGTATGGAAACCTTAAGACAACAGATCTACATCTAGAAGTCTGGAAAGAAAATGCCATGACAGAATCCTAAAACTAGTTAAAAAGCCTTCAAGAGAAAGACTTCTCTAGAAAAGTTACAAGTATTAGTCATCAGAGGATCTGTTAGTCCAGAAATACTAAGGGATACTCTGGGCTGAAGGAATTAAGCTTAGGTAAAAGCAGGACGTACAGGAAGAAATGAAAAACATCAGAGAGGGGAATTATGTAGGTAAATCTAAATGGATACTGACTGTATAAAATCATAATAAACATTTGCAGGATTTAACACATAGAAACAATAGCACAAAAGGCAGAAAGAACAGCAAACAGTGTCTAAGTATTCTGAGGCCTAGCACTATATGGAAAATGGTAAAAGTACTATTACTTTTCAGGCTTTTAAGGATGTATATTGTCATCCCTATGTTAACTATTAAAAGAAAGATAAAGGAGAACATAGCAAATTAACAGAGGAGGAAATGGAATGACTAAAAATTTGAAACTAAAAAGACCAGAACTGAGATTAAAAAAAAAAGGAAAGTCAAGAAACAAACAAAACAGCGAGACAGTGTTCACACAGAGCAGGCCCAGGGTACTACTGGCTGGGGGCCGGGGGCTCCCCTTCACAGGGGCTGGAACTGCCACTGCTCTTAGAGACAGGGCAGGGTATGAGCTCACGGTGCCAGCCAGACCAGGTGGCTGCCCACACCCACTCAGCAGTCACTGGCATCTGAAGTCATTCTTTTGTGGGCTACTGGAGTCAAATGCTGGTTCTGCTATCTCCACTTCAGAATGAGACTGTTGGGGGAGGAGGTGCTGAAGACCTGCATTTGCAACAGGATTTCCAGGGTTCAAATCCTGGCTTCGAATGCTTTAGAGACATGGGCAGGATCACTGGCACCCATATGGAAAACAAGGCTATTTGTCTCTCAAGAGGTTATGTGGGGGTGACAGCAGTGTCAGAGGTCTTATCTCCTAGGGGTATTACCTTCCCAAACCCACACTACTGCCCCCAGAAGGCCCTTCTCAGACCTAAAGGGCTCCACCTGCTGGGACAGGGACACAGCAGACACACATCCCAGGATGGGTCAGCCCACAGACAAAAACCTTTGTGTGTATCAGTGAATAAGCCACCCAGCACACACAGGCATAACCTGCCAAGGCCCCTCAAAACCCCTATGTAGCAGGGTTAACTGAGCAGATAGAAAGTGGGCTTTGTGTGGCCTACAGGGTGGCATGGATATACTTATTTCTGCATATTGTGTACGGATGGGCAAGGCTATCCAGGACACTCCACCAGCAGTTGAGGCCCAGCCAAAGAAAAGCCTCCTTCTTCCTTTCTCCCTACCTGCCATCCCAATCTATGTGATCCCCACAAACTTGGTGTCAGTTACTAATGAGACCTGGAAACTGGGCCAGTCAGGAGCCTGGCTTATCTTACTCATCTCTGCAGCCCTTTCTGTTCAGAGCTGGGTGCGGAGCAAACCTGGACTGAAGCCAGGGGAAGAGAAAACAATCCAACACCAAGGGCCCTTCCTATGCCTGAGGCAACGAGTAGGCAAAGTGTCACAGGAAATGTGGGATGATCCTTAGAGTCCCAGCTCTCAAGGAGCTGAAGGCAAAGTGTGGGAGAGAGCTAGGCCAGAAGAGAGCCCCTACCCTGTTCCAAGGCTACAGAGCAAACCTAGGTCCTGTGCTAAGTGCTTTGGAAGACACAGACAC